AATCCTAGCTGGATATCCTGAGAATTGAAGCTCAACATATCTGAAAGGTTGGGGAAAACAGATTGTGGGGAATATTGAATCCACCTGAATGTTACCTTTCAATTATATTTTGCATAATTTTATATTAAAATATTGACTGATGTTTTTATTATATCAAGAAATGAGTAGCGCAGGACCAGTTACAGGGAGTTAACAATGTATTGGAATTCTGCCATTCTTCCTTGAGAATACTTTTCTGGAAGTAAGCCCACTAACCATATAAGTACACAGTATACTGTAAACTACTGTATAACTAGCATCGAACTTGGCTGTTACAATAATCCAATTTAGTAATTTCAGTTGAATAACGCACATTAATCCATACTAGTTTCATAACGTAGGCTATTATCCTAATCCATGTAAAATATACCCTTCCACCATTTTTAACTGGAAAAAATGTTCAGGTTGCAGGAAATCCCCACATAAAAATATTATATCTACAATACCTCACAGTACTTTAGCGTGATCAACAAATTGTAGCTCTAATAATCCAATCTTTACTTAGCATCTGGAGACTGAGGCAACCAGTTCACTGTGTCCAGCAATAAAGCTGGTTGCTCTGATTTGATTTCAAAGAGAAGAGCTGGCATCTTGAACCATTAGATTTACAATTGCCTTTCTGATTTTCCCTTTCCTGGCAAGTAGACATTGTCCAACATGAGAGGACATCTTTCTTTTCCAGGAGTTTATAACTATGGAGAAAATTGGTGTCAACTAGTTTTCACTTCAATTTTAAATTAAGACAATATCAGGATTAGTGTAATTATAAAGCTAATGGATGTTTCAAAGTTTATATTTCTAAAAAAGGAATCCCCCCCCCACCCAGTCTTCATTTTCTGGGTGCTTCTAGAGGCTTTTTACTCATCTTGCTTTCTTCATGGAATTTGGAGCAGGGATGTTCTCTCCTTTTTGTATCTTTAACCCTTTTGTGTTTCTGTCTTTTTCCATAAAATATCTTTTAACAGAGAGAAAAATGGAATAGTTGCATAATATATTTTGAGTGATAACAGTAAGAGCTCTCTTTCTGAAAACACCATCTATTTGTGTAGGATTTCTTTTAAAAAAATAAACTCAAATTTGATATTTTCCATTAGAAAACAAAAGAGCTCTCCCTCTGAAAACACCATCTATTTGTGTAGGATTTAAAAAAAAAACCTAAGGTCAAATTTGGTATTTTCCATTAGAAAAAGGAAAGGAGAAAGGGACTCAACGTAGGTCTAGGAAAGTGCTGTTCAGTTTTAATATGGTTTCTGCTTGTGATTTCTTCAAGTTTCGTTAATCCTGAATTAAACCCAGATAGGGTTTAACTATTCCTAATCTCATAGGCATAGCTGTAGCACCATTCAGACATTTGTTACCTGAACCTTCAACCCATAAGTGCTCCAGATAAATCTCTAACTACTCTTCTGTATCCTCAAACAATCTCAGCAACTTTGGTGTTCATGTAGCCAGACTGGGTTCCATGTAGCTAGGAGCCTAATAATGTGGGCCTGTGCTACCATAGAAAATAGTGCATGCCCTACTATATCAAGTTTGAGTGCAATATGAAAGTGATAGAGCAAAGATCTATAGAAACATCTTATTTTAAAAAAAACTAACAAAAACCCTATCTACAGTTGCAATTATTTTGAGCAATTTCAGTTAAATCTAATTTCTTATTAAACTAAACTGATTCCAAAAAGAGAGCCAGTTTGGTTGAGTGATATTAGAAAGTGGGAGACCATGAGTTCAATCCCACCTTAGCCATGAAAACTAGCCCGGTGACTTTGGGCCATCCTCTCTCTCTCGTCCCAATTCATCTCACAGGGTGGATGTTGTAGGGAAAATAGGAGTCAGTAAGAATATTTTTTTTTGAGAAATTTTTTTTATTTTAAAACAAAAACAAAACATAAAACCATCATCATTCCAAACAATTACAGACAGTGAGTCAAACGGTTCATATTCTCTTGTACATAAATCCATTTCTAAAATACCAATTTATAACAGAAACTTATATCTTTTATAGAAAAAAAAACATCAGATATTTTATCTTTACATCAACCCCATATTTCACACTTCAATTCCATGATTTATTATCTATCCATTGATAAAACAAATCCCATATCAAATAATATTGTTTATCTTCCTGTTCTCTAATTTCAAATGTTAATTTACTCATTTCAGCACATTCCATAATTTTCTTAATAATCTCATCATCAGTAGGTAACTTCTCTCCTTTCCAATTTTTAGCAAATTTGATTCTAGTTGCTGTTAAAACATTCACAATTAAATATTGCAATTCTCTGTTATATATTTCTGGTAAAATCCCCAATAAAAATATCTCTGATTTAAAGTCAAAATGTTTCTTTGTCATTTTTTCCAACCACGTGTGTATCTTAGTCCAATATCTTTTAGCTTCTACACATGTCCACCAGATATGGTAATATGATCCTGGAGTCTGATGACACTTCCAACATTTCTCTGATTTATTCTTGAACATTCTGGCTATCTTTGTCGGGGGTAGGTGCCACCTGTAAAACATCCTATACAAATTTTCCTTATACGCTGTAGACATTGTCATTTTATAATTCTGCGACCACAATTTTTGCCATTTCTCTAAATCAATAACATGACCAAAGTTTTTCCCCCATGCTATTATTGACTCTTTAACTTGTTCTTCTTCCAATTTTACCTCTAACAAATATCCATATAATTTTTTAATCACATAGTCATCAGAACCCATTAAAATCTTATCTAAATTAGTCATATTGTTATAAAAACCTTCTTGTTTAGAATCTTATTCATATCTAAAACGTTTGTTGTTGTTTTTTTTAATTTGATTTATATGCCGCCCTTCTCCGGAGACTCAGGGCGGCTTACAATGCGTTAAGCAATTGTATTTGCCAGTAAGAAAACCAATCCATCTTAAAACCTTGTTCTTCTAATTCTTGCTTTGTTTTAAGTTCACCCTTTTCATCCATTAATTCACTATATCTAACAATTTGTTCCCTTCTGAATACTACTGAATATGAAAATGCTTCAATTGTAAATACCCAGACTGGAATTTTCAAATAATGTTGTTTTTTAATCTTCTCACAATTCAATAACAGAGCCTCACGTACGTAGTGTCTTCTAAAATACCCCTGTATTTTTGTTCCTTTATACCATAAAAAAAATGCCACCCCATCAACAAATCATGTCCTTCTAGATTCAATAATCTAATATATCTTAAAGTTATCCATTCTTTAATCCACATCAGGCTTGTTGCTTGATAATAAAGTTCCCAATTTGGTAAACCAAAGCATTCTAACATCTTGTATGGAGTCAGTAAGAATATTGTGTGTGCTGCTGCCTTGAGTTATTTGTAAAAAGTAATAAAAGCAGGAAATTAAATAAATAAATATTAAAAAGATTAAGATTTTGTTTTGTTTCGGATCTGTTGAAGGATTTGTTTTGTTTCGGATCTGTGGAGGACTATCTACCAGTAGTCCTCCACATACAACAGTTCATTTAGTGATCATTTAAAGTTACAATGACTGTTTTTCACACTTACTACCATTGTGGCATCCCCATAGTCCCATGATTAAAATTTGCATGCTTGACAACTGACTCATATTTATGACAGTTACAATATCCTGGGGTCATGTAATCTTCTGTAACCTTTTGTAACCTTCTTATAAGCAAAGTCAATGGGGAAGTCAGATTCACTTAATAACCGTGTTACTAACTGAACAACTGCAGCAATTTACTTAACATCTGTGGCAAGAAAGGTCATAAAATGGGGAAAAATTCATTTAATAAATGTCTCACTTAGTGACAGTAGTCTGTATTTTACCTCCATATATTTACACAACAGACATTTGACAAAATAAATGTTCTTTCAGATTCCGGGGGCAAGATCCTTTTATCCTCTGGATCTTTTTACTAAGATACATTCTAACTTCCAGAGTTTCTTTAAAAAGGTGAAAAAAAAAAAGAAAAAAAAAATAGACGTCAGTGAAAGAACTTAAAAGACATGCTTTAAGACAGTTGATCTTAAAATCAAACAAAAATATGGCTGAAGAGAATAAGTGAGACAAGAATCTCCAATGACACTTATTTATTTTGCCTTCTGTGTTGTGAAGCCCAGTAAAAGAAAAGAAATCAAGCTGTTAGATAGTATTTATAATTTTTCTCATCTATACATAGATGCCTTTGTCAAAATTATTATACTGAAGAGTGAGTTAAATATAAATCTCTTGATATACATTATATTACTTAATAAGGCTTGACAGCTGGATCTCCTCAGCACCACATCCTCCAGCGGGGTTAAACCTGCCCAAGATGTCTTTCTCGGGAGAAGTGTTTGGTAGTACCCCATTTCCAGGAAATAAGAGATGTGGGGTCTGGATGGGTTACTTGTCTGAGATGATCCTAGTTCTGGAGGTGACATTGGCTATACTGGTAGAACTTCCGTAAACTACTACAAACTCCAGTGCACTTTGTTCTTCTGCCTGTCCCACCAAATGTTTCAGATCAATTCTTGGGTGAATTAAGACATTGGCAGGGTTGTGCTATGTAATTTTAACTTTAACTTTATTTTAATTTACTGTGGCTGTTTTATTGCAATATTTTATAATTGCTGTGAAGCTCCAAGGTTCATAAAATATAGCTATAAATAAATAAGTCTGGGTTTTTTTTAAAAAAAAGAATGCAAATTATTCTAATAATGAGTCCTACTGATTGAATCTATATAAATTTTTGGTTGTTGATTAGGTCTGACAGTGCTGATTAAAAAAATGATATTCATTGGCTGCTTATTGCTACAAAGATGAAAGGTTGTATCCAGTCTCTCATTTTAGTTAAAGATTTCCTTTGTGTTTAATATGGTACATGTACTTTTAATAATAGTGGAAACTTTCTGGAATTATTTGCAGTAACATTTTGATAATTTTCTTAACATGGAAGCAATTAATTGATTGCAGATCCTTTGTCCCCCCTAGGCAAAGGGGATGTCTTTGGTGATGTCTTCTGGAAAGAGACAACTCTTGCCCAGTCCTGTGCGAATGTAAGGGCTTTGACTTACTGTGACCTTCATGTAATTAAACGGGATGCCTTACAGAAAGTGCTGGAGTTCTACACAGCCTTTTCACATTCTTTCTCCAGGAATCTCATCCTGACCTACAATTTGCGAAAAAGGGTAAGGTATTATGGAATGGATGGAAAGAAGAGCTAAGAGCTTATTGGAATTGTACTTTTAGATCAGTGGTGAAATCCAAATTTTTTTTACTATCGGTTCTGTGGGCATGGCTTGGTGGGCATGGTGTGGCTTGGTGGGTGTAGCAGGGGAAGGATTCTGCAAAATCCCCATTCCCTCCCCACTCCTGAGGGAAGGATATTGCAAAATCTCCATTCCCACCCCACTCTGGGGCCAGCCAGAGGTGGTATTTGCCGGTTCTCCGAACTACTCAAAATTTCCGCTGCCAGTTCTCCGAACTGCGCAAAATTTCCACTACCAGAACCTGCTGGATTTCACCCCTGTTTTAGATAATAAATAGTATGGATGGAAAATTCTTAGCATGCTAACTGTACTAGTTTACGTTAGTTTCCAAGTTTTCTTGGCAAGAAGAAAGTATTAATTTATTTATTTAGATTTATTTAGATTTTAGACTTTACGCTATAGTTTCCAAGTTTTCTTGGCAAGAAGAAAGTATTTATTTATTTATGAATGAATGATTTGTACCAATCATTCATGTATGGTTGCCCAACATGAATGATTGGTATACTGTACATTAGTAAAACCAAAGAAAAACCAAATCACAACCAAAACCAGTGACGTCAACAGGAACCAAGCAAAAAAAATCAATGTTCAGATCAATCAACGTATCCTGATATACTTTTGGTAATCACGTCACTTGAGTGGAAAGCCAGAAGGTGTACAATTGTTTTAATTCATTATTATCTCAGTGCAGCAGCCATCTGAAATTATATATTGAAATCCTTGCTGAGAACTCTGAACTTCATGAACTAGGGAAAATAATGCTTTTAACTTAATTGTTTATTTGATGTGAAAAGCCTCTGACCTTTTCGTGGTTCGTTGACTCTTGATTCCAGCCTCAGACTTGCTCTTTGAAGATGTAAACAAATCAGAGGCGTGGTATTTATTTTTTGTTCCAATTGTGTCCAACTAATTTGCATGGTGGCAAAAGACAGAGCATGGTTTGAAGGTGAGAATTACTGGGAAGCATCTAGAATATGTTTCCAGCTGCTCCTTGGAAAAACTGTTTCATGTGCCTTAGAGGTACACAGCAAAATACAATAAAAGTATTGTCTTTCTCTTTAATTATGACCTCTGTATATCAGGATTTATTTTTGTCTAAATATGCACATAATCTGAGTTGCAAGGGATTCTTTTGCTGGTCCTTTCAGCAGCATCAAAAAGGCTTTCATGTTTGGATAACTTGTTTTCTTCTTTATGGAGAGTTATGTTAATCTACTGTATGGTAGAAAAAAATCAGGTGGAGTCTAGGTGTTTAAATGTATTGAAACAGAGACATTTTTGTGAGTACTTCACACCCACACTCCTTCTAACTGTTTACTTCTGTTTTCGACAAGAGAGAGCTAGATTGCTGATGAGATTGGTGTATGGAAAAATACATCCTTTTAGAGTCACTTCATCATGTTTACTCTATGATTCATAATAAACCTGGATCATTCATCTGACCAATTCCAAGAAGCATTGTTCCCATTCTTAAATATTTGGGGTTTTTTTCTTTTCCATCCTGTCTTATATGAGTTTCCTAATTATTTGGGATTGTCAATAACAAAAATCTAGATATGGTATTTAGAAATAAATGGTAAAACTCATTGAAGTAGAACAAATGGGAGTTGGGAGTTGTGGAAAATAGTTTATACTTAATCTTCCCCAAAGTATTTATTTTTAACACCCAAATTAAGTATATAAACATTCAGGACAGTTTTAGCAAGTTTCACAAGAGCAAACCATTTAACAATTGCAACTAAAATAAATGCATGTATCCTGTATTTAACATGCTATTCAATATGTGGTCCAAGGACCAATGTTTGTCTGCAAAGTTTTTGTACCTACTCCATGATAAAATGAGTACAAAATTTTAGAGTGTTTACAAAATTTTGTAGCAATTTGAAATTTTACAACATCCAAGCTTTTGATTACTGGACTCAACTTACTGGAGAAAGTTATAGATTGGTTTGGGTGTTGTTCAACACATGGAGTAAGTTGTGTGACACAAACTACATGCTCATGTTATGGTATTTTACAAAAGAATCAGTCGATAATGGATTAGCCTTCACCACTAATAGTTTGAGATGTACTATCCTATTCCTTTGTATATATATTTCTATTTCTATAACTTTCTGCAAAAATTCTCATGAGTAGAGATGGAATGCACCAATATTGACATGGTTGTATTCTGTTAGGTCTGAAATTGCTCTTACAAATGGGAAAATATATTTTCAAGATGTATCTTTTTGTTTTATGAAACATATCTGACAAAATTGTTGCAGCCATTTTTATCCACCAGAATAGTAGATATATATATATATATATATTGAAAAAAATATTCCAAGAGTAAAACTTTTGATTAGCAATATGCAGTGATTTTCAGCAAGACATTTTCTTACAATAAATTCAAATTCAGCATGGAATTAATTATCCTTTTGTTTACAACTTTGGGTGAAACAAAATCATTATACAATAATATACAGTATATTTTAGGCTTCTGCCAGAGAAAAGCTAACATTTATTAAAACTAAATTGGTAGCAAACAGATTTAATAATGTCATTATTTTGCCTTCCTGAAAGAATGAGCACTAAATTGAGCATGGAATAGAGTAGAATTGAAGTTTGACATATTTCAAATAGAGTTGTTTGCTATAACATCAGATAAACATTTTTTTCAAGACTCAAGCACATTTCAGAAGAAGATGTATGAAGGTTAATCAGCCCACATATTGCTTCCCTTTTCTCTCCTAACATATATTGCAAAACTGTTTCAACATATCTCTGCGGCTACTTTGTTGGATGCAAACCAATGCAGTATTTTCATTAAAATTTTTTCTTATTTTATATATTTGCACTTGGGGCACTCTTGGCAGCACCCACATATCTTGTTTATGATATTGCTTGAATCTATGAATACAATTCTTTGCAGAGTCTGATTGGTTTCTTATGTACTTATATATTAAAATAGTCTAGGTTTGTTCTGTTGTTTGGAAATAATATGGTTAAAAACTATTTTTGTAGCATAATAGCGGTGGTCACATATCAGGTGATGGATGAATTGGAAGTAATCTGGATGCAACCCTTTAATTCTTGCATGGGAACTTGTTGCACTCAGCATAAAGTTGGCAACGTAGTGCCCTTTTTCAGTACAATGCATAGATAAGCAGAAATTAAGTAGACATTTGTCAAGGATGTTTTAAATTTCATTCCTGGGCCAAGCAGTAAATTAGATTCAGTGCCTAAATAGCTTTTTACAACTCTTTTGATTCTGTTTGAATTAAATAAATGACAATAAGATAAAAATTTCCTGACAGTTAGAACAATTAATCAGTGGAACGACTTGCCTCCAGAAGTTGTAAATGCTCCAACACTGGAAGTTTTTAAGAAGATGTTGGATAACCATTTGTTTATGTGGTGTAGGGTTTTCTGCCAAGGCAGGAGGTTGGACTAGAAGACCTCCAGGGTCCGTTTCAACTCTGTTATTCTGTAACACCATTCTGTGTTACACCATTCACCATTCACCATTCTTATTCTGGAAGACACCAAAAAAGACAAGTGAAAAGAACAAATAACAATTATGCAGACTAATTGCTTCTGAGCAACAAGACAAAAAAGTCAAATCAAATTGGCAAATTATCAGTACCATTTTGCTTGTCCACTGAAGAACTTTTGTGTTACAGTATATACTGCTGTTATATGCAGTATATACTGTAAATGCTGTGAGAATTGAAAGAGGAAAAATTATTGGGGTTTGGTGTTATACCCACAAAATATGGAAGAAATAAAGAAATGTAGAGAAATAGGAAAAACTCATGCTGTATATTGCACTTTCACTTTTTCGTAAAAATCTGTACAGAAGATTTAGCTTTATTTTTTCCTCCTTTGGTTTCATATCATGATGAGATTTTCCATTATTCCATTATTCCTTCTTTGAGGACCTCAGAGCTGTTGCTCCTGCCCTCTGGAATACTTTGCCCCCTGATGTGAGGTTGGCCCCAACCTTCCTATCTTTCCATAAGGGCCTAAAGACATGATTCTGCCAGTCCGCTTGGGACCTCAGTGGGGGAACAGCCCAATGGAGGTGGTTGATTGAGTAATAACAGATCCCAGCTGTCCCCATTCAGCCCTTATCCTCCCCCTGTGTTCCTGGTTTAAATGTCTGATTTTAACTTTTTATTTTTTAACCAGAATTATCATAAACAAACAAACAAACAAATTCCAGATTGATATTAACAGGTTGATTCTGGAGCAATCTAGGGAATGAAAGGCTTTGGCGTTACCAGAAGTAGAATAATTATTGATACCTCTTGAAGCACTCTGTTTCAGAGTTATAACTGCTGAGAATGCTTTTTTACCTTAGAGACAAATGGCCTGTAGGCTACATTGCCTCCAACATTGTGCTTTTGGCAGTCCAAAGTCCTCACACCCCGGATACCACTGGTGAATATCTCTGGCAAATTGCCAAATAACAAAGCACAGGCTTTTGTTGATGTTTAGTTGGAAAGCAAAAGAGATGTGTTAATTCTCCAAAGGCGAATTAATATACTGTATCTATAGACTTTTTTTCTGGGGGGATTGTGAGGGTAAATCCATCTGAAAAATTCCAACCTCCCTTCCTGTTATATCATAACTATGCCTCTGTGGCTTTTGGCTGTCCCTGAGGACCTAAAAAGAATAAATACACAACAGCAGCCACAACAAATGACTGTTTTTGCTTTATAAAGATGTGTAGCTACATATGTAACACAAATCCACCCACCACTGGCAAATGAAACTTTCTTCTCCTTCCTAGTCTTTTGGATTATGAACCTAATCTTAATACGAGGAGTATTGTCAGTCCTATAAATATAATTTTCTGTGAAAAGCAAAGAGCTTCTTAATGCCTGAGAAGAAATACAGAAGTCCACTTTCCATAGATGTGTCCTGTGTGCTTCAAG